CCAGGGCAGGATGAGTCAGAAGACCCAGCTCACAAAGGTAATGGAGGACTTGGCCACCCTGCTGGTCACGGGGCTGGAGCAGCTGCCTCCCTGGGGTGGGGAAAAACAGCCTCTAGTCCTGCTCCCTTCCCACTTTTTTTACTGTTTTCTCTAGTCCTGGGGAGGAACAGCCCCCCAGGCCAGGCAGGGCAGCCCAAATAGGTCCTCATGGAAGAGAAGAGAATTGGGTTGGACATGGGCAAGAAATTCTTTAGTGGGAGGGGGAGTGAGACAGTGAAACAGGTCAGTCTGGAGAGGAGAAGGCTCCAGGGAGACCTTAGAGCAGCTTCCAGTCTCTGAAGGGGCTCCAGGAAAGCTGGGGAGGGACTTGGGACAAGGGCAGGGAGGGATGGGATGAGGGGGAGGGATGAAAAGTGGGAGAGGGAGCTGGAGGTTGGAGCTGAGGAGGGAATTGTGGAGTGTGAGGGTGGGGAGAGCCTGGGCCAGGTTGCCCAGGGAAGCTGTGGCTGCCCCATCCCTGGGGGTGTTGAAGGGCAGGTTGGATGGGGCTTGGAGCAGCCTGGGCTGCTGGGAGGTGTCCCTGCCCATGCAGGGGGTTGGATCTGGATGCTCTTGAAGATCCTTCCAACCCAACCCAGTCCATGAAATCCACCCCTTTCCCTGCTCAGCTGGTGACTCACGTTGAGGTACCGGCCCAGGTTGCCCTCCAGTTTGGCATCAATGATGTAGCAGGACTCCTCCCCGTCGTAGAACTGCCGCGTGGTGCGGCGCACCGGGGCGCTCTCCGCCGCCATGCTGGTGGGTTTGATGGCGATTCCGTGGGTGGATTTCAGGGCAAACCCACGGGTGGACTTCACGGCCACCTGCCTCTTCACAGGACCTGCCACAGAGGAGCCAACCCTGCTGCCACCTCCCCAGCTTCCAGAGGAGGAACCCTGCAGTGCTGCTCTCCTCTTCCACGCGGGCAACAAACCCCTCAGGGATCAGCTTCCACCTAAAATCCCACCCTGGGGTGGCTCCTGGGAACACCCAAGTTCTTCTCTCAACCCAGCAGAGCTGGAAGACCCACCAGAACCAGCCTCACAGCTACTTTTTCTTAGATACCCACAAGTATCTTGTACTTGAGGAGTGGGTTGGGAACTCCTGTCCCAACCACCACCTGGAGAAGCTTCAGACCTCGATGGTTAGAGGAGCCTGGGGCAGGACACGTCGGGCTCTGTCCCTCCTCAGCCCCTCCTGGAGGTTCCTGGCCTCAATTTCTTCCTGTATCTCAGCCCCTCTGTCCCTCCCCCAGCAGCCTTCCTCACCTGAGCCAGACGAGGAGTTTTTCTTGTCATCCCCTTCCTCATCCTCAGAGCCTGAGGAGATGGTCTGGATGTCGTCGCTGTCGTTGGTGGCTCCCGGGGTGTGTCCTGCTGCCCCCTGCCCGTTCTCCCCGTCGCTGTCGCTGGTGCTCGACAGCGTCATCACGTCCTGTGGGAGGCAGCAACAGCCTTGGGCTCGGGGGCCTGCAGAGCTCCCTGGCTTCCCTGGTGACACCCAGGACCCCCTTTGCCCCTGCTCTCTCCCAGAAGATCTCCAGGCTCTGGGAAGCCCTTTAGAAATGTGTGGACATCACAATCAGAGCCAGACCAGGACTGAAACCCCATCTCCCCAGGCCAGAGCTTGGAAAGGCAGCAGGATCTCAGGACCAGCACTTCCAGGGTCTCCACCATCCCACCCGTTGGCTTTTCCAAGGAGGGGGAGAAGACCCCAAAAACCAAAGGACACCCCTGGGATTGCTCCTCACCCCGGCTCTGCTGAGCAATAGGCCCCTGGTGTGAAGGAACTCAAACCACACACCATGATCCCTGCACTGGTGCTCAACTGGGAACGACCCCAGGGGAGGTTCCAGGTGCCCCCCAGCAGGGCTGGAGGGAGGCAGGGCTCAGCCCACCCCCCGGGACCCCCGCTCACGTCGGCCGGGGGCTGCGGGGGCAGCGAGTGGCGCCGGCTCTGCAGCAGGGCTGTCCGGCTGGTCGGCCTCCGGATCCCCTCCAGCTTCGGGGGGCTGGGGTTGTACCCGTACATCCTGCCCAGGGTGCTCAGCCTGCAGGGAGACATGAGAGCAGCTCCACCTGCAGCTCCAGGGGGAGCCTGAGCCAGGCAGGGCTGGAGCAGCTGAGGAACACTGGGAGCTGGACAAGCTGGACCAGCCCAAACCCCCCTGGGCCTCCCCCCTTGGCATTCACAGTTCAGGGCAGCCCTGGAGTAGCAGCAACTCAACCCAGAGTGATGTTTGGAGATAAAAAGCTGGAAAGTAACAATTTAAGGAGCCTTACCCGGGAATTTTAGAGGAATCTTCGGGTTCCTGCAGAGGGGAGAAGAACAGAAGATTGAAATTTGGACCACACCTCAGCCCTCCTGTGGAAATGTGCCCTGAACACCACCCAGGGACAAGAAGTTGGCTGTCCCACTCCCCTGCTTGGTGTGACACCCGCTCCAGGGGTGCTCCAGGGGTCTCCCACCCTCCACATCCCACACAGCAGAGGGCCAGAGTAGGGGGTGGTCAGACACCACCTCCATCTCCCCACTGCTCCTCCCTTACATCTTTCTTCACGGCCTTTGACTCCCCATCCAGGTCTCCCAGGGCAGGGCCAGTGAGTTTCTCCCTCTCCCCAGGGAGCTCCGTTTTCCCGGGTTTGGCTTCTCCACCTTCACTCATCTTGAAGGAGGAGGCGCTGTCGTTGTCCTGGAAGCCCTCGGACATGGTGTTGGAGCTCAGCCACGAGGCCACCTTGTTCTTGGAGGTCTCCTCTGACACAGGCAGTTTACAGGAGGCCGTGGCCACTGTCTCCTCGTGGCTGATCTGCCGGGTGAGCCCCGAGTCCTTGGAGGCCGTTTCTGACAGCCCATTCTCCTTCTGGCCCCGCGTCTGGCGCCGCGTGGCGTAGCTGCGCCACACCGAGCTGGTGCTGAAGTCCTCGTCCTTGCAGAAGTTGTCGTCAGAGCTGTCCTCGTTGGACTCCTCCTGCTCCTCAGTGCCTGTCTGCTCATCCTCCTCGTCCTTCAGGTCCACCCCGCTGCTGTCAGAAGAGCACTTGGCGTCGCTCTCGTAGCCCTCCTTGAAGTTCTCCACGCTCTCGATGTGGTCCAGGTTTGCGAAGTACTCGTCACCCATCTCCAGCCCTTCCTTGTCAGCAAAGTCATCTGTCAGGATCTTCCCTGGGGGCAAGAGAAAACCAAGGGTGAGTTTTCCAGGGATGATGTTCCCACCCTCTCAGTTTCATCCTTCCCAAAGGCTCATGGAGGAGCAAACACGATGGGAACAACCTCGATCCAAAGCTGGGCTGGGAAAGGACAACCTGGTTCTTAAGGTAATGAAAATCTGAAGCATGTGGCTGAAGTGGGTCCCCACTAACAGAACCACAGAATCACATCCAAACTCCCATCAAGGTTTAATTACCATTTTACTGGTCAGGTAATTAACCACTGGGACAGGCTGTCCAGGGGGGTGGTGGGGTCCCCATCCCTGGAGGTGTTTCAAAGCCCTGTAGATGTGGTGCTGAGGGACATGGGTTAGCCCTGGGCTGGGGAGACTTGGGTTCATGGCTGGACTCCATGAACTTCAAGGTCTTTTCCACCCAGATTCTGTGAAACCTCTCCAAAGCACTTCAGCCAGGGCACCTGTGGTACAGAGAAAAGGCACCACCAGAGCTGGAGCTCAGCCCTGGTCAGCTGCCTTCAGAGGCACCACAACTTCTGCATTTGCTGGGTTTGTGGCAGGGTGGGTGTCAACAGGAAGCAGGGACGTGTTGATCCACCCCAGCAGAAGCCCTGGGGAGCTGGGTGCTTCTCTGGGTGCTGCTGTTTTCTGCAGCCACACTGGGCAGGTGGGACATTGACCTGGAACTCGAAGAGCTGCAAATTCATCATCTCAGCTTTTTCTTCCCTGTCACCTCCAAGAGCACAGGAAGAGCTTCATGGCCCTTCTGCCAGGTTGGGCAATAAAAAAAGCTGAGCTCCCAGGCCTGACCCAACCAGGATCTCCTCCAACACCCTCCTATCCTCAACCCAAAGCACATTCCCACCTGAACGGGACCAGAAGGGTAAAGAACTGGCCTCCACGAAGGCTCCTCACCCCTGCTTCAAACCTTCCACCTGCTGGTTCCTCCTACCTGCATAGATGCAGACAAAGGAGCCCTTGGCAATGTCGTCCAGGCAGCGGATCCCCCAGCCCTTGTTCTGGGTCTTGAACAACTGGAGCCGGACCTGGAGCCCGTGCTGGACCAGCCGGTTGGTGCACATGTTGATGTTGCACTTGCACCTCTTGTTGCACTCGTAAACCCTGCAGGGAAGGAGAAGAGTGACCATCAAGTGACCAAAATGGCTGAAGTGATAGCCCAGGGCTTGGTGCTGCACCAGGAAGGACACAGAGGGGCTTGCAGTGGTGGCTTAAAGCTCAGCTGGGTAGGGAGAGGGGAATGGCCTCAAGTTGGGCCAGGGGAGGTTCAGGTGGGATCTTGGGAAGTTTCCTCACTGAAGGAGTGGTCAAGCACTGGGACAGGTTGCCCAGGGCAGTGCTGGAGTCACCACTCCTGGAGGGGTTCAAGATGTGGCACCAGGGGACGTGGTTTAGTGGCATGGTGGGGTTGGGTTGATGGTTGGACTTGGGTCTTTTCCACCCTTCATGCTTCTGTGCAATTGCCAAGTTCTAGGGCAATGCACCGAGATCCTGGTCCAGGTGTGAGCAGGTGAATCAAGAACAGGTTTCCAGGATCTGCACTTAGCTCTGGGAAATCCTGCCCAGTCCTGGAGACCATGTTTCTGGGGCTGGTGTTGGTGAAGGAAGGAGAAGACCTAGCTCTGCTTACCCTGTGGGGAGGCACTCCTCCAGCCTCTTGTGCTGGTAGCCTGAGTTGGGGTTCATCTGCCCACCAGGGGTGCAGGCCGTGGCTTGGACTGTCAGCTGGTGACAGGCACACTTGGACCTGGAGAGACAGAAAATCCCACCCGTGTCTTCAAGGTGAGTGACATCGGTTTGCAAAGAGGAAAAGGACCTGGAGGTGTTGGCTGAGAGCAGCTCAATGTGACCTAGTGGGTGTCCAGGTGGCCAAGGAGGCCACCAACATCCTGGCTTGTGTCAGCACTGGTGTGGCTATCCTGAAAGGGTGGTTAACCACTGGGACAGGCTGCCCACAGGGGTGGTAGAGTCCCCACCCCTGGAGGTGTTTCAAAGCCCTGTAGGTTAGCACTGGGCTGGGTAGAGTTTGGTTATGGCTGGTAGGGTTGGGTTCATGGCTGGTGGGGTTGGGTTCATCATGACTGGTAGCGTTGGGTTATGGTTGCGGAAGTTGGGTTCATGGTTGGTAGGGTTGGGTTATGGTTGGACTCAATGATGTTAAAGATCTTTTCCAACCAAGAAATCCCATCTTTCAGTGCAAGGCAGAGCTTGACCTGAAGTCAAACCCGTGACCCACTCAAGCCACGTGGGCTCACGGTCTGGAGCAGCTCCACCTTGGGTTGCCCACAGGGCTGGGTGCTGTTCCCTACCCTCCAGGCCCAGGTTGAGGAGTCACCTACTTGTCCCGGCAGCCATCCCTGCAGTCACAGCCCACCAGGAACTCCCAGCTGGTGTTGATGTAGACGCCCTTGCCCGGGATGCGCTCCTTGCTGTAGGCCACCTGCGGTGGCGGCGTGTTGTCGATCTCGTTGACGCAGGAGAGCGGCACGTCCTCCTTCCCCTTGGTGATGTCCGCGATGTAGTAGTAAGGTTTGTAAGGCTGGAACTTCCGATCCACCAAGACGTAAGGATCCAGGCAGAACATCTCCAGGAACAGGAAGTCACAGTCTGTCTCGAACAGGTAGCGCTCGATCTCCTGCATGGTCCGGAGGGACAGCCCGCAGGGGGTCTTGTAGAGGACGTGGAAGCCCATCTTGCGGTTGACGCGGCGCCGTGCCGTCATGCGCCGGAAGTCGTAGAGCAGGGGGATGAGCAGCGGGTTCTTGCTGCGGTACTGGTCGCTGCAGATGGGCCGGACCCGGGACAGGCAGGTGTAGCTGCAGACGTGGGGCAGGTAGAAGAGCTTCTCCAGTGGGGCGCGGTAGGACGGCTCGTTGGGCACGCGGTCCATCATGCCGTGGAAGGGCTGTGCCGGGAGCCTGGGCAGGGGGAGGGACAGGGTTGGAGGAGGAGACCTGCCCAATCCTGGCAGCTGCAGGGGGGACTTGGGGCACCTTGTTCCCATTGAAATAGTTGGTTGTTACGTGCTGGGACACCCCGTTGGCTTGGGTGCATTGTAGTTGGCTTATGGTGAGAGGACAAGGGGGAATGGATTCAAAATGGGAGAGGGAGATTGAGGTTGGGAAGAAATTCTTCCCTGTGAGGGTGGGGAGACCCTGAGACAGGTTGCCCAGGGAAGCTGTGGCTGCCCCATCCCTGGAAGTGTCCAAGGGCAGATTGGATGGAGCTTGGAGCAACCTGGGCTGGTGGGAGGTGTCCCTGCCCATGCAGGGGGTTGGATCCAGATGATCTTTAGATCATGGAATGGTTTGGGTTGGAAGAGACCTTAAAGACCACCCAAATGATCCATTCAATGATCTTCCAGGTGGCTGCTCTATCCCCGGAAGTGTTCAAGGATCTAATGTGGGGTTTGGAACAACTTGGGCTGGTAGAAGCTGTCTCTACCCATGCAGGGGGTTGGTTCTAAATGATCTTAAAGGTCCTTTCCAACTCTAACCATTCTATGATTCTCTGATTCTCAGGTAAGAGGAAGACATGCTCAGGGGAGGACGAGATGGCAAAGCTGTCCATGACAAACCAAACCAAAGCAGCCCCAGACCTGCAGCAGCATCCCACACTCTCCTGAGGCCCTGGGGGTGGCACCAGGTGCCACCAAGCCCTGCTCACCGGTGCTGGGTCGTGCTGCTCCTCCCTGCTGGGGCCGTGTCCCCTGGGACAGGTGGCGGGGGCGAGGACTGGCCGGAGCCCACGGAGCTGGGACGGAAGGACGTGCTTTTCTTGGCCACCTGCTTCCTCGACTGGGCCAGCTGACTGTCAGGGCACCTACAGGAGGGAGGAAGGGAGGAGATTCACAAGAGACACAAGGTCGTGCAGCTGGTGGGATTTCAGGGACAGTCAAAACAACCCCCCAAGCAGCCAACAGCAGTAGAATCCGAGCGGGTTCTTTTCTTAAGGAGTGTGAAAATCAGCCTGTTTCGGAGGACTTGTGATCCCCCCACCAAGCCCCAGCACTTGGCTACATCTCCAGATGACTTCTGAGTTCTGCTGCTGATGTGGAAGGGAGGCAGGAGGGGGAGAGGGAGCACAAGGAGGGTGCCCAAGGCCTCCCCTTCAGGAAGCTGGACAAACAAGAACCCTCTGCGAGAGCAGAGACAAGACTGCACAGAGCAGGGACACAGCAGTGGGAGGAACAAGGACAGAGGACTCTTCTGTCCACACCAAGATAAGATTGTGCCAGGGAATGTAATAACATCCCTGAGGAAAGGGTGACAAGGGGCTCCCCGACACCTCTGCAGCCCCAGGAAGGTGGGAGGCACCTGGAAGCCACCAACTCTCACACCCTGAGGAAACAACTGCAGGAGTTTTCAATCCATGGAACAGAAAAACAACCCAAACCAGGTTTTCCTACAAGTGGAAGAACATAGTTATGTTATCAGGGCAGAAAGGGAGGAGATGGTGAGAGCAGGAGGGACAACTACTTCTGCAAACACCCTGCCCAGGTAAGGTGCAAGGTGTGAACACTCCTTGCAAGAGACAAAAGCTCCTGTCAAAGGGCTCTCAACAGGCAGGACTGGCTGCTGGCAGCTCCCTGGCACCACAGAACAAATTGAAAGGGAAACTAGAGAGCAAAGAGAACTAGAGAGCAAAGACCTTCCTCAGAGTAAACAGCACACCAAGCTGTAGGATCCGTTCTCCCAGTTTTAATAATCTAAAACCCTTGTATTTTAACCCAACAGTTTCCCCTGGGACAGCAGGACATGGGTACAGCTGCTGCCTTCAGACATGGAAACCTGGTCCTGCTGAGCAGCTCTCTAGGTAAGGGCAGGGCAGTGTTTGTAGTGTCTGTTTGTCTTAGACCTGAGAGCAAGACCCTAAAGTCACAGCCTCTGTGGGGAGAGAGGGAAAAACAAGTGTTTCTTGCAGGAGCTCTGGGGAATGTTGATGGAGAGGGAGGGACTGGTCAGGCTGTGGGTGGGCCGGTCCTTCAGTCCAGCTTTGGCCTGGTCCCTGCACATCCTTCCTGCAGCTCCAGCTGCCTGGATCTTCCTGGGCTCAGAGGGGTCCTGGATGAGGATGTGGTTCCTCACAGGCCTTTGGCATCAGCCTCTCTTTGTGCTGCTGAACAGATGAGGAGAAAGGCCAGTCGGGCTTCGATTCTCAGCTCTGGCTTGGGATGGCACAGGAGAAACACTTCCAAGTAAGCCCGCACCTCCAGGAGTCCTATTGCACTGGTGCTTGAGCCCCCTCCTGAGGCTGCAGGTTGGGTCCCAAAGCTGCTGCTATGCCTGGAGGGCTTCGGGAGGGTACAGAGTGACGCGCTGCACCGGTTCCCCGCAGCTGGGACAGCTCCGCGCCCCCCGCTGCCCGTGCAGCAGGGCACAGTCACAGCAGAAGACGTGCTGGCAGGGGGCCAGACGGCAGGACAGAGGACTCTTCTGTCCACACCAAGATAAGATTGTGCCAGGGAATGTAATAACATCCCTGAGGAAAGGGTGACAAGGGGCTCCCCGACACCTCTGCAGCCCCAGGAAGGTGGGAGGCACCTGGAAGCCACCAACTCTCACACCCTGAGGAAACAACTGCAGGAGTTTTCAATCCATGGAACAGAAAAACAACCCAAACCAGGTTTTCCTACAAGTGGAAGAACATAGTTATGTTATCAGGGCAGAAAGGGAGGAGATGGTGAGAGCAGGAGGGACAACTACTTCTGCAAACACCCTGCCCAAGTAAGGTGCAAGGTGTGAACACTCCTTGCAAGAGACAAAAGCTCCTGTCAAAGGGCTCTCAACAGGCAGGACTGGCTGCTGGCAGCTCCCTGGCACCACAGAACAAATTGAAAGGGAAACTAGAGAGCAAAGAGAACTAGAGAGCAAAGACCTTCCTCAGAGTAAACAGCACACCAAGCTGTAGGATCCGTTCTCCCAGTTTTAATAATCTAAAACCCTTGTATTTTAACCCAACAGTTTCCCCTGGGACAGCAGGACATGGGTACAGCTGCTGCCTTCAGACATGGAAACCTGGTCCTGCTGAGCAGCTCTCTAGGTAAGGGCAGGGCAGTGTTTGTAGTGTCTGTTTGTCTTAGACCTGAGAGCAAGACCCTAAAGTCACAGCCTCTGTGGGGAGAGAGGGAAAAACAAGTGTTTCTTGCAGGAGCTCTGGGGAATGTTGATGGAGAGGGAGGGACTGGTCAGGCTGTGGGTGGGCCGGTCCTTCAGTCCAGCTTTGGCCTGGTCCCTGCACATCCTTCCTGCAGCTCCAGCTGCCTGGATCTTCCTGGGCTCAGAGGGGTCCTGGATGAGGATGTGGTTCCTCACAGGCCTTTGGCATCAGCCTCTCTTTGTGCTGCTGAACAGATGAGGAGAAAGGCCAGTCGGGCTTCGATTCTCAGCTCTGGCTTGGGATGGCACAGGAGAAACACTTCCAAGTAAGCCCCCACCTCCAGGAGTCCTATTGCACTGGTGCTTGAGCCCCCTCCTGAGGCTGCAGGTTGGGTCCCAAAGCTGCTGCTATGCCTGGAGGGCTTCGGGAGGGTACAGAGTGACGCGCTGCACCGGTTCCCCGCAGCTGGGACAGCTCCGCGCCCCCCGCTGCCCGTGCAGCAGGGCACAGTCACAGCAGAAGACGTGCTGGCAGGGGGCCAGGCGGCCATAAACGCGGATGGGAAATCCACAGTGGTGGCAAAAATGAACGGGGGCAGCTTCTCTCTCCCCTGGGGAGTGACTCAAGTCCCAGAGCCCGTGCTCGGGTGCCTCGCTGGGCTCCAACACGCTCCCTTCCTCACCCGGCCGAGCTCCTCCTCCATCCAGGCCTCCTTCTGCCCTGGCCTGCACCTCCGAGAAGGTCCCTCTGGGGCCCCTGGTAGCAGGAGGCACGTGTGTGACTTGGCCGTGGCTGAACTTGACCGGGTTTGGGCCGGGACCACCGGGACCACCCATGGATCCCCAGCTCTCAGTGCCTCGGAAGTCATTGAGGTCCACGAGGTCGGTCCGAGTGGAGGGACACGAGGCAGCCGGGGGCCAGGGCCTGGATCGTGACACGAGGGAGCAATTCAGATTTTCAGAAGAGAAGGAGTAAACGTCCTGACTTGGAAATACATCAAGTGCAAAGCCTGAGCCCAGAGTTTGGCTTGGGGGGGGCTGCCTGCCAGCTCTCCCTCCCCCAGCTGCTCCTCCAGCAGCTTTGCTCTAGAGCTTCCCCCTTGAAGTGAGACCCTAAAACCAGTTTGTGTCACCAGGAAACAAGCCAGGGAGGAAACCTGCACCTGAGGACACCCCAACACAGAGAGGGTGGTGCCTGAAAGAGCTGGAGATGGAAAGCAAAGGAGGCAGAGGTGGGAGCAGGGAACTGGCTCTGGTACTTACTCCATCTCAGCAGGGGACATGGAACGCGTGGCCAGCAAGGCCACTGGCTGCTGCTCCACGGGCTTGTACTGGGGAGCAGCTCCTGTCAGATCCTGGGTGTACTGAACCACGGGGCCTCTGCTCCTGACAGCACCTGGGGAAGGGGGAAAGCCATGTCTCAGTGAGAAGTCTCCACCAGCAACCCAAGTCTGTGGAACTGGTCACCAAATGCTGCTGCAGCTCCCGAAAAAAGCCAATCTCAATCAGAAGAGTCTCCACCAGCCACCCAAATCTGTGGAACTGGCCACCAGGTACCAATTTACTTCCCAAAAAAGCCACGTCTTGACAAGAAGAGTCTCCACCATCAATCTAAATTCGTTGCACTGGCCACCAAATACTGATTTAGCTCCCAAAGGCAATTGGAGCAGAGCCCCTGGCAATCAACACAGGGTCACTGGCTGAGCTTTGTGTCACAATCTGTCACCCCAGATGGATTCTGGCCACTTCACACCTCTGCAGTCTGGTTTTGTAGGACACTGGGTGATGGTTTTAAGCTGGAAAAGGGTGGATTTAGGTTGGATATGAGGAAGAAGTTATTTACTGTGAGGCTGGTGGATCATTGAAAGGGTTTGCCTAGGAAGGTGGTGGAGGCCCCATCCCTGGAGACATTCAAGGTCAGGCTTGACAGGGCTCTGAGTAACCTGGTCTAGCTGGAGACGTCCCTGCTTATTGTAGGGGGGTTGGACTAGATGACCTTTAGAGGTCCTTTCCAACCCAAGACATTCTGTGATTCTATGATTTGTGGCATCTTTTCATCAGGAGCAAAACCTCCCTGCAAACCTCCCATCTCCAGCGGTTCTGCTAAAAAATAAACAACCCCCCATTCCCCCAGGGTTCACCCCAAGCCCAGGACCCAGGTGAAGGACACAGGTGCCACACACCGACGTTGGGACGGGTCCTGGCTTGGCCACTTTGCTTCTTCTCCTGGGTGGAGGCCGTGGAGGTTTTCATGCTGAACATGGGCTCCAGGCGCGTGGAGCCGCGGTAGATCCACTCGCAGCGCTTGTCGTCCTGCAGGAGGGAGCAGGGAACGTTGGCAGCAGCCCTGGCAGGAGCCTCCAGAGCCACAGCACAGACCTGGGAGGCTTTTCCAAGGAGCAGAATGGAATGGCAAGGAGGCAAAGCATTGAAGGAAGAGCACAGAGCCACGAGAAGATGGAGGAATTCATCCCGTCTGGGGGAGCACTGACTGCAAACCCACCTCTGGTCTAAGAGAGGCCCAATACCAAGGGCTCAAACCTCAAACCCAGGTCTGTCCTCAGCCCAGCAGCTAACGAGGAGCTGCTGGTGACACCAGGCTCCCTCAGGAGACAAACAAACTCCCCTGCACAGCCTGGATCCACCCTGGGCCAGGGAGGCCCAATGTGCACCATGTGCTCTCCTGGGGCCATGTGGTTATCTAGGCAGGACTGGAGCCAAGACCTGGGTCTGTTCCCTCCCTGCAACGGGTGGAATTGGAACAGGCAGGATCTCCCATCCCAGAATAGCACAGAATTACAGAACATTGCAGCTTCTGCCCACTTCTTCTCCTGCTTCCCAAGCCAAGCCCCTTGGATTTGGACAGAAGACCCAGCGAGGGGCTCACACCCAGGAAGGAATCAGGACAGTTCCTGCAGGTGACAGGTTTGTTTCCTGTTCATCAGCCACTGGGAAGTATCAAAAGGCTCCAAGAGGCTTGTGAAGCTTTTGTCACATAAATGGTGGCAGAAATGGGCCCTTGGCCTACTAGAGTAAAACACCTGCCTGTTCCTGCCTGGCACAGGGAGGGAACTGGTTGTGAGCAACTGACCCCAGCCCCAGTTAATCCCCTCTAATGGGAGCAGGGAAACTGCCCTACCAGGAAGAGGATTTTGACCAGGCTGCCATCCACTTCTTCCACCCTGGATTTCCACCAGGTCCCCTCCCACTCGGTTTTGATCAGCTGCCCACTCTTGAGCAGCACCATGGGCCGGTTGGGGTAGGCTGTGATGTACTCCTCGATGAAATCCCGGCAGGAAACGTCCTCAATGTCCTCCCAGGCCTTCTTCACTGCCCAGAGGAACAGGTGGGAGAAAGGGAAGCAGAGGAAAGACTCAGTAATGCTGATTTTTACACCAGGGCTGAGCAGCGATCCCGAGCGGTGGGAGTTGTGGCTCCAGCTGTGCTCAGCACTCTCCCTCTGCTGGGAATAACCCCATTCCCTGCAGCTCCCATGGCCAACAGCTGCAGGGACACACGGAGGGGACAGTGTGTCCCCTGATCCCAAGGGCCCTCCACCCAAGCCCAGAGTCAGGAGCCACTCACGTGGCCTGCAGACGGGGTAGAGCTCCCACTCCTTGACGTAGGAAGCGTATCCGTCGTCGAAGAAGATCAGGAACCTGGAGAAGAGGCAAGAGAAGGTGGAATGAGAAATGGAGCAGAAGATGCGGCCCCACGTCAGAGGGCAGCTCTCCTGCTTCTCCTGGCAGTCCCCAAGGAGCAGGTCTGGGGGATGAGGATGGGCTGAAGGGATCCCTTGGCCAGGAGGGGATGAGCTCTGCAGCGCTGCTGCTTCCCCCGTGTCCCCAGGGCAGTTCCCAGAGATCCCAGTGCACCCAGAGATCCCTCTGCTCCCAGAGCCAAGAGGCAAAGGAGGACAAACCACAGCCTGACTGCTCCTAAACCCTGCAAGAAATGATGGGTTTGGATCTTTTGGACAGAGCAGCAGAGGCTGCACAGTGACCCAAAGGGAGCTGGGGACACCTCCGGGGGGATCCCCGGGAAAGGGGGTTCCTGCCAGGCTGGACGTGCCCCTGCCTGCCTGGAATAACCACCCTGGGACACGGGGAGGGCAGGGGGGGCAGCTCATCCCCAGGTGTTCTGACAGGACTGACACCACGGAGTGTTTCTGCCCCAGAAACCAAGCAGGCGATTAACAAAGCAGGTCATTAACTCCTTGATGAACCTCAGAGAGAGCAGGAGCCCAAAGCAGAGCGTGGGTGAAGCCCTGATCTACACACAACCAAACCCCCCTGGAGCTGCAATTTCTGCTCCTGAAGTGCTTGGGCAACACTCCTGCCACCAGCTGCTGCCTCCTCAGGCTGTTCCGCCTCCAGCCCCAGGTTTCTGGGATCACTGGAATGAATTCCCAGGCAGAATTCCTGACTCAGGGACATGAATAACCCCAGGGAAGCTCCACCCAGAGATAAGGCAGAAACAAGGTGCAGAGCCAGGTCCCCAGAGGGGAAGAAAAGCATCCGGTTCCCAGGTGAGCAAACGTACAAACCCACCCTTTAATTCTTCGTGTTTTTGTTGTTGGTTTTTTTTTTGCCTAAAATGAACCCACCAGAAAAAAAAAAAAGGGAGAGGAGGGGGTGGAGTTTTGTGGGGGAGGATCCAGACCTGTCTTTGTTCTTCACATTGGGGGTTTCAGCCACGATGCCAGCATAGAGCCAGACCTGGTTGCCATCCTTGTACTTGGCCACCACGCGGCTGCCCACGCAGGGCTGCTCGGGCCGGGGGTGCAGGTCATAGGCCACGTGGTTGCCCGAGAGCAAACTCTTCCCTTTGTTGTCAAACTTCACTTTGTACTTCTTGCCAGCACCTGGGAGACATTGCATGGAGGCATGGGATGGGTTGGAAAAGATCATCTAGATCCAGCCCCCTGCATGGGCAGGGACACCTCCCAGCAGCCCAGGCTGCTCCAAGCCCCATCCAACCTGCCCTTCAACACCCCCAGGGATGGGGCAGCCACAGCTTCCCTGGGCAACCTGGCCCAGGCTCTCCCCACCCTCACACTCCACAATTCCCTCCTCAGCTCCAACCTCCAGCTCCCTCTCCCAGTTTTCATCCCTCCCCCTCATCCCATCCCTCCCTGCCCTTGGCCCAAGTCCCTCCCCAGCTTTCCTGGAGCCCCTTCAGGCACTGGAAGCTGCTCTAAGGTCTCCCTGGAGCCTTCTCCTCTCCAGGCTGGACACCCCCAAATCAACATAATTTTGGCAGAGTGAGGTAAGAACACAACCCAAGAGGCTCCACACAAGCTCAACCCCACCCCGAGCCAAGCTCAGAATTTATCTGAGATGCAGAAACTGATTTTCAACTTGTTTGCTCCCTCCAACTGCCTGGGAGGAGGGTATGAGGAGCTGGGGGTGGGTCTGTCCGAGGAAGTTACAAGTGATGGGACAAGAGGGAACGGCCTCACTGGGCCAGGGGGGGTTCAGATGGGATGTTGGGAAGAATTCCCTCACTGAAAGGGCTGTCAGCGAGTGGAAGAGGTTGCCCAGGGTGGAGTCACCATCCCTGGAGGGGCTTTATAGCCATGGAGAGATTTGGTTCAGGAAAGGATTTGTCCTGTGTCAGGTTGGACTCGGATCCTGAAGGTCTTTTCCACCCAAGGTGCCTCAGTGACCCTGGGAAAGCCTTTCAGGAAGTGACTCCTGGGGTGAGATGTGGTTGCAGAGTCGTGTGGCCTTCCCAGCTGCTTCCAGGTGGCAGCTGGAGCTCTGCCCTGCTCTCCCCACCCCAGCTGGGCCCAGCAGGACCTACCGACCGTCTGGATGGCGATCAGGGTCCCCTTGTGCCACGTCTTGGTCCTCTTCTTGCCCAGGATCCTCATGCCCACACTCAGGTCCCCATCGGTGCTGAGCTCACCCCCAGCTGCTGCAGGAGGGGGCTGGACAGGGCCTGGAGCTTCCCGAGGGCTCTGAGCATCTACCCAGGGAATAACAACCAGCAGGTGGGTTAGGAACTGCCCAGAGCTTTGTGCTGCCTCTGCAGTTGGAAGAAGATCCCTTGGAAGCCAGGCAGGAGTTGTTCCCTGGATTTCCCCAGCCCCAGGGCCTCAGTTTCCCTGGATGGAGTCACCCCCAGGTGAGCTTTGAACATCGTTGAAAACCTCTCAGGTGATGGGAACTGCCCCACTTGGATTGGCCCTTGGAAAGGGCTGAAAGGAAAGCAGGACTGTGGAGCTGAGAGATCCCACTGGATCCTTCCAGTGGGGAAAGATCCATCCACCTAAACAGAAGGAATGATTCTTCCCTGTGAGGGTGGCAGAGCCCTGGGACAGGCTGCCCAGGGGGTGGTGGAGGCTCCACCCCTGGAGACATTTCCAACCCTCTGCACTTGTTCCTGTGGTATCTGCTCTAGGGGACCCTGCTCTGGCAGGGGGTTGGACTGGATGATCTCCAGAGATCCCTTCCCACCCCACCACTCTGGGATCCTGTGACACAGTTATTTTCTTTTCCAGAAAGAAACCTGGCAGGTTGAGGAGCTGGACAGGGTGAGGGGAAGGACAGAGGGTTCCCAGGAGGTCCCTCTCCCACCTTTCTGTGCCTCCTGGGCTGTTGTTTTCCTGTTCACAGCATCCATAAATTTCTGCACATCCTGGGCAGATTTCCTCATGGCAGCCATGGCCTCCCTCAGCTGCAGGGCAAGACAAGATGAAGAAACTTCTTTCTTCCCACCAACCCAGCAGTGCCCCCAGTGCTGCCCCAGACCCACCCACGGGGGCTTTTCCCACTCACCAGAGTGTGATCCCTGGGGATCCTGGGATTGCTGGTGCCTGTGTGGGGAGAGAGGAGCACAGGTTGGGTTGGAAGGACCTTAAAGCTCATCCAGTCCCACCCCCTGCATGGGCAGGGACACCTCCCACCAGCCCAGGCTGCTCCAAACCCCACATCAGATCCTTCAACACTTTCAGGAATGGAGCAGCCACCTTGAAGATCATTTAATGGATCATCTGGGTGATCTTTAAGGTCCCTTCCAACCCAAACCATTCCATGGTCTAAAGATCATCCAGTCCCACCCCTCCATGGGCAGGGACACCTCCCACCAGCCCAGGTTGCTCCAAGCCTCATCCAACCTGCCCTTCAACACCCCCAGGGATAGGGCAGCCAGAAATCCCACAGCTTCCCTGGCCCAGGGTCTCCCCACCCTCCCTCTCCAGAATTCCCTCCTCATGAATTCCCTCCTCATGTCCAACCTCAACTTAAAGAGTAAATTGAACTCTTAAGATGAATTTAAGGAGATAAACAGGCCTCCCCAGCCCCCCAGGGAGGCACTGAACTGCTCTTGGTGACTTCGATGCTCATGACATTCACATCCTCATCCTCCTCGTCCAGGATCTCAATCACTTCCATGGGCTGGGCTGAGTCCTCCTCCTCCGAGCTGCTCTCCCGGTACTGGAGGCCCAGTTTGGAATAAAGATCCTTCACCAGGACCTCACACTTATCAATGGCTCTGGGGGGGGAACAGGAGGGTGGAGATGGGGGAAGACAAGATGAGCTTGGCTGTACATCCCATAAATCCACAGACGTAGAGAGGAGCTGATCACTCATCAGCTCCAGCCCTGAGGAGGGGAGGGAAGGGGGCTCAGGTTCTCAACCCACAGGGAAAAACTTTATTTATAACTTTATTTATCCCTCAACAGCCACAGAACCATGGGATGCGTGGGAGGGACCTTCAAGATCATCCAGTCCCAACCCCCCCATGGGCAGGGACACCTCCCACCAGCCCAGGCTGCTCCAAACCCCATCCAACCTGCCCTTCAACACCCCC